TTTCCTACCTGCCTGTCAACATATGTATTAGCATACCTCTGCGCACCGGGTTCGAGCAGACAGGATACGTCATCAGCATGTTCACGCACGCTGTGCAGACAGAGCGAGGATGGCAGGCAAACATCAACAACCTGATCTTCCTTCCTGGTATTGTAGTACTTTTAAAGATTTCTCACCGGTGAATGACACATTATGTAGCCCAGCGGTTAAACCAGTCCTCGCGCCAACTCGTTAGAAGAGAGCTACGTGCATGAACTGTGTTCCGATCGATATGATCCCTACAAAGTGTTCATTGCTCCCTACTCTCTGAGTGGGGGAAATCCGTTGAAGTTTACTTCACTTCAGAACATGGGCTGGAATTGGGAACCTGATGTAGCCTATTGTAGTAATGTTGTCTCTGGTCTGTGAGTGTATATGCGTTCAGGGGGCGTGGCTTTGGACGGCGATTGCAGGGAGGGTGGGACGTTCGCTTTCAGTGCTATCAGGCTAAAGTTAGCATTTTCCACGATCTCCTATTGCACCTTTAAGTATAATTTTAAATTAAATATAATTGTATTATAGCATTTTTTATATTATAACAAAAAGAATCATGATTATCTCACTGTACTGACAAATTATAAAAAAAATTATAAAATAAATAAATTAATTAATAATGCATTTCGAGGCTACTCTTTTTGATGGAGGTCCTTGACATCAAAAACTATGAAAGATTTGTATCAAAAACTCACCTTCGCGATGTCACTGAAAGTAATCACCGTGCCATTGGCTACAGTCTCTGAAAGGGGCGGGGCTTTGAAAGGAGGCAGTCCTTTGGCAGTTTTCCCGGTGAGACTGAAGATATGGTGTCCGGCGACCTCTGCGGAATACGCAACAGCTGTCGCTGCTATGACGACCAGAGCGTTCCGGACTGCGACACAAGAAGATTGTATATAAACATCTGTCGGTTACATTACAGATTCACAAGAGTTTTTTGAGCACTCACTAGTAGCTAAACTCCACACCAGCTTGCGGGCAGACCAGATGAGGAGAGGAGCCTCGTCTTCAGACGAACCCAGAGAATTCTTCATCAGCGTCAACATGACCAGAAAGAACAGACAGCACAGACCCAGAATCACATCTCCAGCTCTGAAAACACAGATGATTGAGATACGCACTTAGACAAGACGATTTAACACTACAGGAAGCAGCTGTTCAATGGTCAGACATATATGTGTGTGCTCACCTGGCCTCAGGGATCTTGTGGAAGGTGTAGTAAACCTGTAAGAAGAACTGCTGTGGGATCTCCTTCAGACCCAGAATATTCTGCACAAACGAAGCGGATTGACACAACTCTTCACAGATCTTAAAGGCCATTTAAGAATCATGCAAATGAAAAACGAGAGGCGTAAGTGATTGTTCTAGCGTCAGACTCTGACCTTGACCTGACCGAAGCCGATGGTGACAGCAGCAGCACAGGTGAAGCCTTTAATTACTGGATATGAGATGAAGTCCAAGAGGAAACCTAATGAACAAACAGAGATATATATATGTGTATGTGTGTGTGTGTGTGTGTGTGTGCGTGTGTTTATATATACATTTTTTTAATTAAAAAATAAATGTAATAAAAAACACATAAAAGTGCATATAATAATAACAATAATAATAACAATAATATTTATTATTATTATTATTAAAATGTATAAAATTGAATATATTATTATTTCTGAAAACACAAATGCTCAATTTAGCTTGTTTGGATTATTAATTGGATTATTATTTAATTTATTTATGAATTCACATTTCATCATAAAAAGTGCTCAAAATGTTGTAACAACAACAATATTAAAAACAATATTTAACATTTTATTATCAGTTCAAAAACAAATATATTCACTTTTTGGATTAATCTTTTTTTTCTGTTTATTTATTTGTTTCTATGTTTATTTTATTATGAAGCTACAACATTTAAAAATTGCTTCAACTTAATAATAAGTATTATTTATACATATTTTATATATTAAATATTAATGGTTATATGAATACTTATGAAAACATTCAATTTAGCAAATATTCAATTAAGCTTTTTTTGTACTAATTATATATTCGTTTATTATTATTGATTATTTAAAAAAAAAACAGCTAAGTTCGTTCTCAGGAAAATATTTGGCTATTTTTATCTAACTCAGTCACTTCCACAACCTCGTTGTCACATTTTTAAATCCTGTTGCTACATTTTGGTGTGCGGCTTCACAGTCATGTACAGGAAGTTGCACAGGAAGTAATTGAATCTAATAGTTATGTGACAGAAAAAAACCACAAACGTCCTGTTTTCACAAACGGTCCTGATTTACAGGCAGCCGAGTCAGTTTTCTCTTCTTGACGGCAACACTTCAGTCAAAGTTTATGTAAACTTCGGAGTATAAATATACTTAGAATGTTAATAAGTAATAGTTTTTAATAGTATAATCCACAAAAAAAGATCTGTTTAAAAGTTTACGCTCAGTACAATTGGTGTTGCCACTGTTAACTAAAACTACTTAGAAAAAAATACTAAAACTGAAATAAAATTAAAAGCTATATATAAATATTTAAAACAAAAATTATCATAATGACTATAAAGATGACTATCTACCTCAATTTTGTATGAACCACACCAAAATAGGGCAAAAATATGACCTAAATAATGACATCAAAGGGATAGTTCTTCCAAAAATGAAAATTCTGTCATTAATTACTCACCCTCATTTCGGTCCAAACCCGTAAGACCTTCAGTTCATCTTCAAAACACAAATTAAGATATATTTGATGAAATGCGAGCGCTTTCTGACCCTGCAGCAATGCAACTGATGTCACATGGACTATTTTAATGATGTCCTTGCAACCTTTCTAGGCCTTGAACATGATAGTTGTGTTGCTGTCTATGCAGGGTCAGAAAGCTCTCGGATTTCATCAAAAATATCTTCATTTGTGTTCTGAAGATGAACAAAGGTCTTACAGGTTTGGACCGAAATGAGGGTGAGTAATTAACAACAGAATTTTCATTTTTAGGTGAACTATCCCTTTAAGCCCATTTTCCATCTCACCCAGTCTCATCAGAGCCATTCCTGCCTGGATGACGCCGCACAGCAGTGTGAGCACCACCGCAAACACAGGATCTCCACCGATATACGCCGAACACAGCAGGGACATGATGGCGGTCGGGCCCAGCGTGATGTCTTTAGATGTCCCAAATACACAATAGATGAAACCACCCATGAACGCAGAATACAGGCCGTACTGGAAAACAAATAAACAAACACTGTGTCAAGAAAACCCTCCTCGGTCTCAGTCTCTGGAAGAACGTGAATGTTCTTACCTGCACAGGTAAACCGGCCACTTCCGCGTAGGCCAGAGCCTGAGGAACCGCGGTCAAACCCACCGTCAGACCCGCGATCAGGTCCATCTTCAGCCAGGTCAGGTTATACCTGGGCAGCCAGGTGAGTACTGGAAAACAAGAGCGCAGGGCGGCATACCAACAGATACCCGTCACCCGCTCCATCAGAAGATCCAAGATCTGCTGTCCTTCAGCTCCACCAAAACACCGTCAGTTAAGGATCATGAAAAGAGCTGTAGTGCTTCATCCAGGATGTTGAACGCCACTCAGATGGTGTGGACAAACAAGGATGGGGCAGAGTTCACGAGAAGGGTGCAGCTATCAAGCAAAGAAAAAAAAATTCGTAATGGCCGTAAAAATACCCTTAAAATTGAATAAAATGTCAAATTCTAGCATAAATATATTGCTATTACCAATAATGCATTATTACATGCTGTTTTATTTATGTTTTGTATTCAAGTAACAAGATTTTATTGATTTTATTTTTTGCATTACAGTAACAAGATCCAAAATGTAAAATGCAAAGAAAAACACACTTAAAGAATAACTAAAATGGACGAAAGAAAGAAAGAAAAAGTCATCAAACATCGCAATGGACCTAAAAAATACAGTTAAAACTGATTTGGTAAGAGTTTTGACATGAATCATGTGACATTTTAAAAGGATCTCATGACCCGTGTACCCAGTGCAATGCAAATTGAAAAAACATACTAAATAATAATAATAATATCAGTTAGATAATCGTATTTACAAACCAAACTGAAAGTTAAGATCAATGTTAAGAGGCACAATGTGAAATCAAGTTAAAGATCAAACCTCAGAGATGCCTTTGAGCCTCGCGCTTCACCGGAGTTCAAACATTCCGCTGCAGTAATCTTTTTATTTACATCAAAACACAAATATACAATGAAACATGTGAGCAATCAAAGCGACTGTAAGAGTGTATCGCGGTTTGTTTGACAGAAGACCAACAACAGCCCTTTGGTGGCGTCAGCCGCGACGCGCGACGCGATTGGCTGAGGCTTCCTGTCAGCTGATCGCGGTCATGTGATGGATTCACAGGGCGGAAGTGTCTCGCTGAGTGTAAACAAAGCGAAGACTTTTCCATTTGCTCTAGTAACATTTCTGGAGGCAAATGACTCTAAAATGTCGTTTCTGTTCGCGTGGACTTTGTTGTGTCTTCTGGTTTGTTGTGATATAGGAGAGTGCAGAAGAAGAAATGTGCTTCTCATCATTGGTGTGTAGTAAAACACAATCATGGGTTTTTGTAAATACTGATTTGACAAAATAACTAATTTATAGTTATGTCTGTGTTGTTGTTATCTTGTATATATGTCGTTTTTTGTTTGTGTTATGTTGTATTAAAGGTTGTTTTGATGCTTGTATTGTTATGTTGTTTTGATGCTTGTATTATGTTAGATTTATGTTGTTTTGATGCTTGTATTGCTATGTTGTTTTGATGCTTGTATTATGTTAGATTTATGTTGTTTTGATGCTTGTATTGCTATGTTAAATAACTAATTTATAGTTATGTCTGTGTTGTTGTTATCTTGTATATATGTCGTTTTTTGTTTGTGTTATGTTGTATTAAAGGTTGTTTTGATGCTTGTATTGCTATGTTGTTTTGATGCTTGTATTATGTTAGATTTATGTTGTTTTGATGCTTGTATTGTTATGTTGTTTTGATGCTTGTATTATGTTAGATTTATGTTGTTTTGATGCTTGTATTGTTATGTTGTTTTGATGCTTGTATTATGTTAGATTTATGTTGTTTTGATGCTTGTATTGTTATGTTGTTTTGATGCTTGTATTATGTTAGATTTATGTTGTTTTGATGCTTGTATTGTTATGTTGTATTAATGTTGTGTCTATGTTCTGTTGTACAACACAGCTGATGATGGTGGGTTCGAAACGGATGTCTACAACAACACTGTGGTCCAGACCCCTCATCTCCGGGCTCTTTCTGAGCGCAGTGTGATCTTCAAGAACGCCTTCACCTCCGTCAGCAGCTGCTCACCCAGTCGTTCCACCATCCTGACTGGACTACCACAGGTAACCAGAAGGTAAAAGTCTCCATTTTAGCCTTGACCACTGGATAAACTTGCCTTGAACTTTCTTTCTGATCAACAGCACCAGAATGGGATGTACGGCCTCCATCAGGGAGTTCATCACTTTAACTCATTTGATGGAGTGCAGAGTCTTCCTCTTCTTCTGAATCAAGCCAACATTCACACAGGTACGATGAAGATCTATTAAACTGTGAATAAAACTATGCTTAAAATATTAATTTATGTTAATGCACATGTTTCTGTGTCTGAAGCCAGATAACAGAAAAACGCTCTACTGAATGACAGATTTGTGCCAGTGTAGTGTAGCAAATAATTCATATGACACTGAAAAAAACTAAAGTCTTTAACATTTGTTTTTGTGTTCAAGGCCAGATGATGGGACATGACAGGACAACTGTTGTTTTTGTTTGTTTGTTTTTCTGTAGTGACTGATGTGTACCAATGTATCATATCTGTATGTAGATTTGTATGAAGAAAAGCCAGTTATTTTTAAGACTCTAAAACAAAAATCTCCCTCACACACATTTTGTGGCTCATTTATGTATTTTAGGTCAGATGATAGAAGAACTTTTTCCTGAAATACAAATTTGTATCAGTATAACACATTTTTCGCAACAATTTGTTTTTTAGTAAGTGTTTTTGTACGATGGTGAAAAAAGCGGCTCAAAACTGCACTTTTTTGTGCTTCTATTTTAGATCAGATGAGAGTACAGCTATCTTTCTACAGAATGACTCAATAACAACATAGTGTATATATATATATATATATATATACACTATGTAGCATCCAACTATTATGACTTTTGGGATTGTTTATGTTTTGAGTCCTGATAATAATGCAACTATCTTTCTACCAAATGACAGATGTGAATGATTACGTCAATTTATTTTTCTACGAAATGTAAAGTTTGTACAAATTTTGAAAAGTTTTTGACACATGCAGAAATCCAGTATTGAGAGAAAACCAGCTTATGATTTGTCACTGAACACTCAAAGCATGAACTAGTAAAACTTGGAAAATTTGGAGTTATACTGAATTCATGATTGCTTTTTTTGGGAAAGGTATCATTGGGAAAAAACACGTGGGTCCAGGCCCTGTATACCCGTTTGATTTCGCCTACACAGAAGAGACCAATTCCGTTCTTCAGGTGGGTCGGAATATCACCAAGATCAAGCTCCTTGTCCGGAAGTTCTTCCAAAGCCAGAAAGAGGAGAGGGAGATGGAAGAGGAACGGCCGTTCTTTCTCTACGTGGCATTCCATGATCCTCACCGTTGCGGCCATTCCCAGCCGCAGTATGGAATGTTCTGTGAAAAGTTTGGGAATGGAGAGAGCGGAATGGGGAGAATTCCGGATTGGGAGCCGAAGTATTACTCTCCAGGCCAGGTCAAGGTGAGCCTTACTAATAAAGTAAAATTAAAAGGTCATTAGTTGAATTTCCTAACATCAGTCTCTTCATATTTGACTAGGTACCGTACTTTATTCCGGACACTCCTGCAGCGAGGGCGGATATTGCGGCCCAATACACAACGGTCAGCCGGCTGGACCAAGGTTATATATTTTACACCATTCACAGTAATATTTAAATATTTGCTTGCATAGATCTTCACAAATGTTCTGCTTGATTTCGAAGGTGTCGGTCTGGTTCTTCAAGAACTACGGGATGCGGGATATGAAAATGACACTCTGGTGATCTACAGCTCGGATAACGGAATTCCGTTTCCCAATGGTCGCACAAACCTGTACAGCTCAGGTGTGAAGGAACCCATGCTGGTCTCCTCACCTGAACACCGGCAGCGTTGGGGGCAGGTTAGCCAGGCTTACGTCAGTCTGCTGGGTAAGAGCCAATCAATAGCTTGATTAACTGACATCAGGAACATGTGTAAGTAAACTAATGTGCACAGCTCATAGTCTCTCATGGGCTTGAGTTGTGCTATAACTGCTTTTAACCACTAGGTGGTGCTTTACGCCTGTGTTTAAGAAAACACTGCACCCTCATGCACTTTCTGTGATTGAGACCAGAGTATTGAAATAAATACTGTTACTAAATAGCAGATTTAAGAAAACATCTGTATGATAATTATTTGTATCGGAAGCTATTTGTACTACACTTTTTTTATACAAATAGCCAAATATTCATATCACTCTAAAATACAAAATTTATGTATTTTAGACCAAACGAGTCAACCACTTTCTCCCCGGCTACAAATTTTGGCCAGTGTAAAACATTTTGTACAACAATTTCTTTTTGTATAAAGTCTTTTTGTATGATAATGAAATGCGCCATATTATTGCTGCACCTTTTTGTGCTTGCTTCTGTTTTGTGTCTAGATAATTAGATTTGTACAAATCGTAAGTAGTTCGTACGGCATTAAAAAATGGCGTCCCTCATTATTGCACATTTTCGCACTTTTTATTTGCTGTCAGATTATTGCCAATGTAACAACATCTTATTCTATCTTTACGAATCGCAAGTTGTTCGTATGATATTATGAAATGGCATCCCTCATTATTGGAGATTTATTTTAAGGTCACATTTTTTTATTTACTCAAATTATTATGTGCACGACATTTTATTTATTTTTTTCTACGAATAGCAAGTTTTTTGTACAATTTAGAAACACTACATCTCACTATTACACCATTTTGCTCTCGTTTCTGTTTTTCCAGTCTAGAAAATAATAGATCTATTTCTACTGTACGACAAATTGTTACCAGCATAGCATATGTGAATGATGAATTCCTTTTCTATGAATAGCAAATTTTTCCATTTCCATTATTGCCAATTTAGCAAAATTTTAATTGTTTATACAATATAAAAAATGGCATCCCTCATTATTGCACCAGATTCTTTGTTTGAGGTCCCATTTTTATATTTACTCAAATTATTGCCAATGTAACATTTTATGTTTTTACAAATCACAAGTTGTTCATACGATAATAGGAAATGGCATCCCTCGTTATTGCACTTTTTCGCACTAGATTCTGTTTAAAGGCACATTTTTATATAAATTATTGCCAGTGTAACATTTTATATTTGTACAAATCACAAATTGTTCATACAGTATTACAAAAATGTCATCCCTCACTATTGCACATTTTCATACTTGATTCTGTGTTTAAGCCCATATCTTTCTATTTACTGACAGATTAATGCCAATGTAACACCATTTAAAAAAAATATTTTTATGAATAGCAAGTCCTTCATACGATATTATGAAATGGCATTCCTCATTATTGCACATTTTTGTGCTAGATTCTATGTTTAAGGTCACATTTTTATATTTACTCAAATTATTGCCAATGTAACATTTTATGTTTTTACAAATCACAAGTTGTTCATACTCAAGAACTACGGGATGCGGGATATGAAAATGACACTCTGGTGGTCTACAGCTCGGATAACGGAATTCCGTTTCCCAATGGTCGCACAAACCTGTACAGCTCAGGTGTGAAGGAACCCATGCTGGTCTCCTCACCTGAACACCGGCAGCGTTGGGGGCAGGTTAGCCAGGCTTACGTCAGTCTGCTGGGTAAGAGCCAATCAATAGCTTGATTAACTGACATCAGGAACATGTGTAAGTAAACTAATGTGCACAGCTCATAGTCTCTCATGGGCTTGAGTTGTGCTATAACTGCTTTTAACCACTAGGTGGTGCTTTACGCCTGTGTTTAAGAAAACACTGCACCCTCATGCACTTGTTTCTGTGATTGAGACCAGAGTATTGAAATAAATACTGTTACTAAATAGCAGATTTAAGAAAACATCTGTATGATAATTATTTGTATCGGAAGCTATTTGTACTACACTTTTTTTATACAAATAGCCAAATATTCATATCACTCTAAAATACAAAATTTATGTATTTTAGACCAAACGAGTCAACCACTTTCTCCCCGGCTACAAATTTTGGCCAGTGTAAAACATTTTGTACAACAATTTCTTTTTGTATAAAGTCTTTTTGTATGATAATGAAATGCGCCATATTATTGCTGCACCTTTTTGTGCTTGCTTCTGTTTTGTGTCTAGATAATTAGATTTGTACAAATCGTAAGTAGTTCGTACGGCATTAAAAAATGGCGTCCCTCATTATTGCACATTTTCGCACTTTTTATTTGCTGTCAGATTATTGCCAATGTAACAACATCTTATTCTATCTTTACGAATCGCAAGTTGTTCGTATGATATTATGAAATGGCATCCCTCATTATTGGAGATTTATTTTAAGGTCACATTTTTTTATTTACTCAAATTATTATGTGCACGACATTTTATTTATTTTTTTCTACGAATAGCAAGTTTTTTGTACAATTTAGAAACACTACATCTCACTATTACACCATTTTGCTCTCGTTTCTGTTTTTCCAGTCTAGAAAATAATAGATCTATTTCTACTGTACGACAAATTGTTACCAGCATAGCATATGTGAATGATGAATTCCTTTTCTATGAATAGCAAATTTTTCCATTTCCATTATTGCCAATTTAGCAAAATTTTAATTGTTTATACAATATAAAAAATGGCATCCCTCATTATTGCACCAGATTCTTTGTTTGAGGTCCCATTTTTATATTTACTCAAATTATTGCCAATGTAACATTTTATGTTTTTACAAATCACAAGTTGTTCATACGATAATAGGAAATGGCATCCCTCGTTATTGCACTTTTTCGCACTAGATTCTGTTTAAAGGCACATTTTTATATAAATTATTGCCAGTGTAACATTTTATATTTGTACAAATCACAAATTGTTCATACAGTATTACAAAAATGTCATCCCTCACTATTGCACATTTTCATACTTGATTCTGTGTTTAAGCCCATATCTTTCTATTTACTGACAGATTAATGCCAATGTAACACCATTTTTTAAAAATATTTTTATGAATAGCAAGTTCTTCATACGATATTATGAAATGGCATTCCTCATTATTGCACATTTTTGTGCTAGATTCTATGTTTAAGGTCACATTTTTATATTTACTCAAATTATTGCCAATGGCATTGTTACCAACATTGTGTCTGTGTACAACAATTTATTTCTCTATAAATATCAAGTTTTTTGTACAAATTTAGAAAAAACTGCATCTCACTATTACACCTTATTGCACTCGTTTCTGTGTTTCAAGTCTAGATGATAGCACAGATATATTTCTACTGTACGACAAATTGCATAGCATATGTGTATAACAATTTCCTTTTCTTTGAATCGCAAGTTGTTCATACAATATTACGAAATGGCTATCGCACATTTTCATGCTAGATTCTGTTTTAGGTCACATTTTTGTATTTACATAAATTATTACCAGTGTAACATTTTATATTTTTACACATCGCAAGTTATTCGTACAACATTAAAAAATGGCGTCCCTCACTATTACACGTTTTCGCAATTGATTCTGTTTAAAGGCACATTTTTATATAAATTATTGCCAGTGTAACATTTTATATTTGTACAAATCACAAATTTTTCATACAGTATTAAAAAAATGTCATCCCTCACTATTGCACATTTTCATACTTGATTCTGTGTTTAAGCCCATATCTTTCTATTTACTGACAGATTAATGCCAATGTAACACCATTTAAAAAAAATATTTTTATGAATAGCAAGTCCTTCATACGATATTATGAAATGGCATTCCTCATTATTGCACATTTTTGTGCTAGATTCAATGTTTAAGGTCACATTTTTATATTTACTCAAATTATTGCCAATGACATTGTTACCAACATAGTGTCTGTGTACAACAATTTATTTCTCTATGAATATCAAGTTTTTTGTACAAAATTAGAAAAAACTGCATCTCACTATTACACCTTATTGCACTCGTTTCTGTGTTTCAAGTCTAGATGATAGCACAGATATATTTCTACTGTACGACAAATTGCATAGCATATGTATATAACAATTTCCTTTTCTTTGAATCGCAAGTTGTTCATACAATATTACGAAATGGCTATCGCACATTTTCATGCTAGATTCTGTTTTAGGTCACATTTTTGTATTTACATAAATTATTACCAGTGTAACATTTTATATTTTTACACATCGCAAGTTATTCGTACAACATTAAAAAATGGCGTCCCTCACTATTACACGTTTTCGCAATTGATTCTGTTTAAGGCCGTATCTTTTTGTTTACTGACAGATTATCGTCAATATAAGAACTTTCTTTTTCTACTTTTATGAATCACAAGTTGTTCGTACGATATTTAAAAATGGCGTCCCTTATTATTGCACCTTTTCACACTTGATTCTGTGTTTAAGGCCATATCTTTCTATTTACTCACAGATTGTTGGCAATGTAACAACATTTTCGATTTTTAACAATTAACTTGTGCGTTAATTGTATGACACTGTAAAACAGCATCTCTCACTCTTTTCCCAGACATCACTCCCACCATACTGGACTGGTTTTCTTTGCCATATCCATCATACAGTCTCTCAGGGGCTCGTCCGGTTGTGTTGACAGGTCAGTCTCTTCTCCCAGCCCTGATCTCAGAACCATCCTGGGTCACCGTCTATGCCAGCCAGAGTCTCCACGAGGTCACTATGTTTTACCCAATGCGCTCCATCCACCAGGGCCGCTACCGCCTCCTGCACAACATGCACTACCGCATGCCCTTCCCTATAGACCAGGACTTCTACGTGTCCCCTACCTTCCAGGATCTGTTAAACCGGACTCAGTCAGGCCAGCCCACAGGCTGGTTTAAGACTCTAAAGGAGTATTACTACCGGGAGAGGTGGGAGCTGTTTGACATCCAGTCAGATCCGACGGAGAGGCGGAACCTAGCTGGTGATCCGGCCTACACCCCGGTTCTGAAGAGCCTGGGGGATCAGCTGCTGAAGTGGCAGTGGCAAACGGAGGATCCGTGGGTGTGTGAGCCGGATGCGGTCCTCGAGACCAAGCTGGAACCGCAGTGTCGACCACTGTACAATGGACTATGAGTGCCTGAAATCTGAGAGAAAACTGTATAAACTTTTTATGGTTCAGGTTCACTGTTTAAATCAGGGGTGTCAAACTCAATTCCTGAAGGGCCGGAGCCCTGCAGAGTTTTGTTCTAACCCTGCTCCAACACTCATACCATGTGGTTTTCAAATAAGCCTGAATGACTTGATTAGTTGGATCAGGTGTGTTTACTTAGGGTTGAATCTAAACTCTGCCGAGCTCCGGCCCTTCAGGAACTGAGTTTGACACCCCTGGTTTAAATGGTTTAATATGAGAACTGTAAGATTATACTTGTATTTTTATATTGAAAATGTTAATAAACATTTAAAATAACAAAAGTCAACATTATCGCACTCTTTTTTTATATTACCTCTTTATTTGATCATATTTGATTTGACACTGTGTTTTCATTACAATATACATGTCCTCTGCCTTCCTAGTTTCATTTCTGAGAGATTGTCAATCAATTAACTTTATCATATTATAATTTTAATATATATTTTATATATGTAATCTCAAATACCTAAGGAACAACATATCAAAATTTCATTTTTGTATAATTTTAAATATTATTATTATTATTATATGCATTACTTTTTGGCTGTCATTTCAAAATTATATTGTTGTATTTACATTTTGCATTATTGTTTTATTACAAATAACATTGTCGAATAACACTAATATTTTAATGATAATAGTGATAATAATAAACATTACTTTTTGGCTTACTTAAATGTCATCTCAGATACCTAAGAAACTAGATTTCAAAATATTTTTGCATTTGATTGTTTTTGTTATAAACTCAAGTTTGTTATGGCTGTTTGAATTACTATATTGAAAGTGCTCTCTCATTTAAATGATTTAGAAATCTGTCAACCTGGTTCAACCGTGTGACGTTTATCCAAATGTGCAATTACAGAGAAGTCAATAAATCAATATTTTAAATCACTTATTAATGAGACTTAGATTTCCTATAGCAATTATTTAAAAATACTTGGATATTGTTACTTTGGTTCAGGTGTATGTGCGTCTTTACGCACGGGATTTTCTCTTTTCTAATTTGCGCTGTGACGCCAGAAAGACGTTTATTGATCAATATAGACAGGTTCGGTGACAGAGAAACAATATTAACCCATCACAAATCACATCTACCTGACGTTAAAGGCTCCCCAGCCGTCTCCAAACGGGCAAAGACGCGCAAATTAATCCTATTGGCCGGAAATATGAATCATCTAGTGGGGAATGACGAACGAGATCACGACTCCGAGGGGTATATATAAACTCCAGATGTGCAGAACATTAATCCAAAAGCTACGAGGCATCATAGACCACATCACACGCGTTTGGGTCCAGTGCGCAATGGAGAGGTCCGTCAGATCCGTGCTGGTGTTCGTGGCTGTTTCCATCCTCATCTCCAGCCATCCTACAGACGCCTGGTACAAGCAGTCCACCGGGCCGAGCTACTATTCCGTCGGGAGAGCCTCGGGTTTGCTGTCCGGGATCCGGAGGTCGCCGTATGTGCGCAGATCTGAGACAGAATCAGCGCTGGACAGCAGCGAGACCCCCGGCGTCTCCAACAGCGTGATGCCCGACTTCAGCAGCAGACAAACTCCAGTTCTTAAAAACATGGTAAATTCTATTATATTTGATGAAAAGCGTAGGCTATATATACACTTTATTTAAATGTTATTTAATTTCAAAGTTTATAAAAAAATATTTAAACAAATTCAAAATGTTTTATAAAATTCAAAATTGTACATTTTAATTGAAAACTGAGCAGAAGTTACTCAGTATTCAATTAGAAATATATATGTGAACTTAAAAAACATGATTTTTCTTTATATTTACATCACTTTTTACATAAATTACTAACGACAAATTTACAATGCAATACAAATCATACTTGATGACTATTCAAATATGAACATATATTCAGAAACATATGAATTACATGAATGTATATTCAAATGTTCTATATATGTTTGAACGTACATTAACATATATTAACAATCGGCCTACAAAAGCAAGAAAACAAAAACTAAATGTTTTTTTTAAATGTCTTTCATGTTTCCAGATTCTAAAATCGTCTTACAAAATGAAAAGGATGTTTAAACATTAAAACCTATAAAAATGTATAAATTGGTTGCTTTCAGCATCCTTTGAAATCATGAAATGACTTGGTTGATAACTATTATAGCATATATATATATATATATATATATATACACACACACACATACAGAGAGTCAGATTTAATGTAGACAATATCTTTTTCTTTGACGCCTAATGTTTTTTGTTTTTTTTGGAGGAAAAAAAAGTAAGAACGACGTAAACGTCAATTCAGGCATCAAAATCATAACTTCGATTAATGTTTACCGTGCCGTTTTTCCCCTCAGGCCATCTGCGTAAAGGACATTTCTCCAAACCTACAGAGCTGCGAGCTGGTTCAGGACGGTTCAAGCACGTTTCGGTGCAAAGCAGACGTGTTTCTGTCACTCGATTCGCTGGACTGCTTCTCCCCCTGAGCGGAACCCGTCTCTCTCCCTCCCCGACCCAAAGTCTCTTCCATTTCAGGAGTATTTACAGCCAAGGCAGTGAGGCGCGCTGCTGACATTGAATGTTTACTTGATTTCACCAAGGATGTTCAGCGCTGCTCCTGAAGATATACTCTCCAGCAAAGTTTAGTTATGTACCAATAATAATAATTTTAATTTCGAGTGATATTATAAATCCATCTACCTTATTTCGCAGCAGCAAAAGTTCTGTGAATGTGATATATGATAATATGAGCAAGTTTGCAATATCAAGCAGCATAACGAGCCGCTAAAAATAATCGGAAGTCTGGCACATTCAAGTTACATAATGGCCGCGCCCGCTCTTACATCAATTAAAAATAAGTTGGACACGGTTTTGAGATACACAAAAACCCCTTATTCTTCTTAAAATGAAATTTGGTCATCAAGACATAAAATGTAGGCTACAGTAAAGAGACTGATTTTAGTTTAGTATCTAGCAAAGTGAAGTCAAACCGAATTCAAGTCACTTCTAGTGTGAACACACTTAGTTTTAGCTATGTTTTGCAGGAAAATAGATCTTGGAGAGCAGTTCCGAGCACCCCTGGTTCACACAATGTGAAGTTCGCTGCTTTAAATTTGTAAAAGGAAAAATAGGAAATCCACAGAAACAAAACGGAGAGGTATTTTCTGTTCGATCTGTTCTTCTCTGCGCCCCCCTCCCCCCGCCCCCGTCACCTGTACCTACTTCCAGATGTATTAAATGTGCATAAAAAGAGTTCACTGTTATGAGCAAAAACTTTCAAAGATGTTTTCTTTATTTTATTAAACTTGAAAGATATTACGTTCATTCTGTGTACGCTTGTGTTGTGCATTTGGGCTGGCGTGATTTGTTTCATACCATTCACTGTGTGAGAAACCAGCACAAAACAAAATATCAAAAACATTCATGTTAGTTTTTAATGATGTTTCTATTCACAGTGGGTTTTTTTGCATTTACAAAAGAGTAACTTGAATTTACCACGAAAAGTGGCGCAACATACAGCATTTAAATAGCGAAGATACATTTTATAATCAACTAAATCTCACTAAATGAATAAATGGGTAAAGCAACATTATTTCAAATGGATTTACAAAAAATTTGCTACAGGTATGATTATGCTTCATATGTGTGTGTGTGTGTGTGTGTGTGTGTGTGTGTGTGCGCACTTTTGGCTCACCTTGGTACAATAAAACCATTTCAGATTGAATCACCAAGACTCAACAACTATAAAAGTGCTGGATCACAAAGGAGTCAAAAGCAAAAGATGATTCATACCACAAAAAAAAACTCAAAAACAACACACTGGACCCTGACAGGGTGTTCAATCTCTGAAAGGACAGTGTTGGGCAAAGATTTACACAAGGGGAAAAGGTTATTTTATAAGTGATGATTAGCCATGGTAACGTACACACTGGAAGTGGGGGGGATGCTTGGACGAGCAACTCGACCACTCAAAGGACAGCATAATTTACTCTTTAAATACATATTATACACTTCCAAAGCATAATATGTGATTCGTATGGGTTGATTATTGCATTTTTATTAGATATTTTACATAAGCAAGAAAAAAATAAACTGGCATTTATTCAGTTATTGCTTCATGAAAAGTGTGCATTCTGATTAATATCAGAGCATCATATACAATAAATACCATCAGCATTGTGAAGGGCTCACCCTCTGACGGACTCTCCCACTTCCCCCTCCCTAATACACACACACACTGTCACTTTAATCAGTCTAAATAAGCTCTTTTGCACTACAAATCATTATATCTGCACTGTTGTCTACTTCACTGGTTTGCACTCTATCTGCCATGTGCTGCTTTATATATATATATATATTTTTTTTTTTTTTCATTTGTATGTTTGTATAGTTATATTTTATATTTAATCTGTATATCTGTATTTATGTTCTACTGTTAGTGTTATCTGTATGCACCAAGGGTCTGAGAGTAACACAATTTCAATTCTCTGTGTGTATGTGCTGTACATGTGGAAGAATTGACAATAAAGCAGCCTTGACTTGAGTTTTTAAAGGAGGAATGGTTCTCAGAGCAGAGACACGGCCTCCAGGTTCTCCTTGATGATGGTGTCCATGACGACCTGGAAAACTACCTGTACGTTAGAGGTGTCGGTCGCTGTGGTGAAGTGGTGGTAGATGAGTTTGCTGGGCGTCGTGTTGAGAGACACAAATATTGAGGCGATGAACCGGGCGGCAGCATCCACGTCACAGTCAGCTCCTATGAACAAAAACACAGTGAGATGTTTGTGAAAGAAGTGTCTTTATTTGATACTGTAAAAATAGTTAAATATTATCACAGCTGAAAATAACTGTTTTCTATTTTGAATATATTTTAAAATGTATTTATTTCTGTGATGCAAAGTTGAATTTTCAGCATCATTACTCCAGTCTTCGGTGTCTCCTGATCCTTCAGATATCATTTTAATATGCTGATTTGCTGCTCAAGAAATATTTCTTATTATTATCAGTGTTAAAAACAGTTTTTGCTGCTTAATATTTTGTGAAAACTGTGATACATTTTTGCTCAGCATTCTTTGATGAATAAAAAGTTCAAAAGAACAGCATTCGTTTGAAATAGAAATCTTCTGTAACATTATAAATTCTTTTACGGTCACTTTTGATCAATTTAATGTGTTCATGCTGAATAAAAGTATTAATTTATATTAATTATATTACTATTTGGATATATAAAAGATTTATGTAAAAATATGCATTTGTATGAAAAAATAATAATTATAGGCTGTATCATAAGACACTATGAATGCATTACAATTAATGCATTATATATACATCAGAGAAGGTGAAATATCAATATTTTCCTTTGCATGAATGCAAAAGTATTTTCTATATCGAATATTTAAGATATAAATCAACGGTTTCAAAACATACATCAACATGAATTTAGTTCAATAACCACTGGTTTGAAAAACAAAACAATCATTGAATTTATCAATGATTAATTATGCATTACCAGGAAACCCTGTACATCCGAGAGAAGACAGGCGAAGTGAAAGTAATTGAGGTGTTCCCCACAAAAAAAAAAAAAAGAGCGAAAAATATGAAGTGAGAGTCTATGAATATCTGACGAGATCTGCTCCAAACGGCAGGATTGATGAATGGGATCAATCTCTAAAGCTCCAACGCTAAATTGACATTTGCATGATGCATGCATTTCTGGGTCTGTCTGAATTAACAGATGAAATGTAGTTGTGAAAAGGTTTTATTGTAATCTTCTATCTGAAGGGGGATTAACTTTGTCATATACAAGTGTCAGGGAGGGAGCGGGAGGAGGGGAGAGAAGACAATATCATGCGAGAAATTTCCAGCCTTTTCCGTCTTGACCTTTTCTCCCTGAGGTAAAAACTACGGGATCCATTCCAGCTGATTAAACGGCCAAACTACAAACTCAAGCCGACACGGTGGATTCAGTCTTAATGGAAGGACAGTGCTACAGGATGTCTGAAAGCAGTAGAAAAAGAAAGAAAGAAAGAAAAGAAAGAAAGAAAGAACGAACAAGACTAAAAGACTATGACTACAAACAACCAAAATAATGAAATAGCATATAAATGAATGAAACAAACAGGAGAGAAGAGAACAGAAAATGAAAAAAGCAAATGAACAACAAATAAAAGAACAAAATAAAAATGGGCAAATAAATGAAAAATCAACAAAAAAAGAAAAGGAGAACTAACAGAAGGAAATCAAACAAGTGACTAAAAGAAAAAAAATCAACAACAAAGAATGAACAAACATGAATAATTTGGAAAACGGAAATGAACTAACAAAATAGAATAGATGGAAAAATTAAATGACTTAAATGAAAAAAAAAGAAGTGAAAAAACAAACAAAATATGAGTAAAGGACAGAACAAACGAAGAACAAAAACAAATGAATAATTGAAAAAAAGAGAAAAACTAAATGAATAAAGCAGAGAACAAAAATAAAAAATTATAAAAACAAACACATAAATAGAAGAAAAGCAAGAACAAGCTGGGAAAAGAAAAAAATGATCAAGAATGAAAAAAAACAACACTAGAACAAAGGAATAAAAGAAACAACAAATGAAAGCAAATAAACAAACAATTAATAAAATGGAGAAAACAACTGAAACCAACAAACAAAAGAACAGAGAATGAACAATGAAAGAGAATAAATAAACAAATGAACAAAAGAAAGAGTGACAAAACAAGAACAAAAATGACAGACTGAACTAAAAAGAAAAAAACAAATGACTAAAAAGAATGAACAAACAAATAATGAAAGAATAAATTGGAAAAACAAAATGAACAAACAAAAGAAAATGAAAAACTCAAAAGAACAAAGGAATGGAAGAAAGAACAATCTAACAAACAAAAGCAAAAGAACAAATGAATGAAAAAAGAACAAAGAACAGAAAAGAGAACAAAAATGACAAAGAATTAATGAACCAAACAAATGTTTAAAATGAATGGATGTCTAAAAGCATGAGAACAAACGAAAGAACAAAAGAAAAAAAAAACAAACATGAATAATTTGGAAAACGGAAATGAACTAACAAAATAGAATAGATGGAAAAATTAAATGACTTAAATGAAAAAAAAAGAAGTGAAAAAACAAACAAAATATGAGTAAAGGACAGAACAAACGAAGAACAAAAACAAATGAATAATTGAAAAAAAGAGAAAAACTAAATGAATAAAGCAGAGAACAAAAATAAAAAATTATAAAAACAAACACATAAATAGAAGAAAAGCAAGAACAAGCTGGGAAAAGAAAAAAATGATCAAGAATGAAAAAAACAACACTAGAACAAAGGAATAAAAGAAACAACAAATGAAAGCAAATAAACAAACAATTAATAAAATGGAGAAAACAACTGAAACCAACAAACAAAAGAACAGAGAATGAACAATGAAAGAGAATAAATAAACAAATGAACAAAAGAAAGAGTGACAAAACAAGAACAAAAATGACAGACTGAACTCAAAAGAAAAAGACAAATGACTAAAAAGAATGAACAAACAAATAATGAAAGAATAAATTGGAAAAACAAAATGAACAAACAAAAGAAAATGAAAAACTCAAACAAAAGAACAAAGGAATGGAAGAAAGAACAATCTAACAAACAAAAGCAAAAGAACAAATGAATGAAAAAAGAACAAAGAACAGAAAAGAGAACAAAAATGACAGACTGAACGAAAAAGAAAAAAACAAATGACTAAAAAGAATGAACAAACAAATAATGAAAGAATAAATTGGAAAAACAAAATGAACAAACAAAAGAAAATGAAAAACTCAAACAAAAGAACAAAGGAATGGAAGAAAGAACAATCTAACAAACAAAAGCAAAAGAACAAATGAATGAAAAAAGAACAAAGAACAGAAAAGAGAACAAAAATGACAAAGAATTAATGAACCAAACAAATGTTTAAAATGAATGGATGTCTAAAAGCATGAGAACAAACGAAAGAACAAAAGAAAAAAAAGCAGACAAATGAATCAAAGTGAACAACACAAATAAAGACAGAATTAATATTATTTAGGAGCAGTAGAAGAAATGCTTGCCAACGGAAGTAAATAATACACTTTCTTCCGAGAGTCTGCAGAGAAAGTAAACATGATTCATGTGTAATCACAGATCCGTCTCTCACCTCTGAACTGGGGAAGGTAATGCCGCAGATGACGCCCGGAGTGGAGAATCTTCTCTTGGAAAAGATCAA